CGCTTAATCTTGGAGAAAAATATATGGTTTTCTATGGTTTGAGCAAAACCTATCATTTATGTCATTTTAATGACCTTTTATTTTTCTTTATTAATTTAATGGCAATTGTTTATTTTTGAGTGAGTGACATAAAATAATATTCTTTACCAGGAGTGATATTTTTTATTTTTTCCCCTCAATCTTGTGGTTTATGAGGAGAGCAATGTCTGAGTGGGGTCTGCAGCGGAGCTAGGAAAATTTTTCAATAAGATCGCTATAAATAGATCATTAATTATTGTTATTATTATTATTATTACCATAATTATTATTATTATTACCATAATTATCTTAAGAACTTTTTTTATTAGATGGCGGCATAATTACAAATTTCAATTATTTAGGGAGCACACAAATGAAAATTTTCTCATAATTATGAGAGTATTAACCGAAAATTTTTAAAAAGAGATTAGGTGTAAAAATTGAAACATCAATACTTGAGTGGGAGCGTCACTCAAAACTGAATTATCATTTCTTAAATTTAGCAAAGTTTTAAAGAGTCGACTATTCTGATTAATTTGATAGTGACGTTTAGTTTAGTGAATTGAATGAGACAAATTATCGGGGCTAATTTCATCTTTTTTAGTGCTAAAATAATAAGTCAAATCTATTTTGATCTCTAACTTTAAAAATGTCTTCGTATGTGGCGTTGATCTATTAATTTATCCTAAGTATCATTTTGTGTATAAGTCTATAAGAGTGTTAAAAAATAGACGTTTTGAGTTTTTACGGGGTTAAATTTATAATTTTACGTGTTAGAACATAGTAAATTAGGGGACGCTTGTTTTCTATATTAGTCTCTGATTCTGAATCATGATTCATGGTTTTTTACAGTGTTTTTTCTCACAAAAAATACACGTAAAACGAGAATGATTTTGAATCATGATTCTGAATACATAAACTAAACGTCCTCTTAGACTTCGTGGCTAGGGACAATTTTTCATGCTTCAAGGGGAATTGGCTGTATGACTTAAACAGTTGCTTCGTGGGTTTAAAGGCTTCACATCTCACGTCCAAAATCACCATTTTCGTGAAAGAAATTAAGCTTTGATTAGGTAGTAAGAGAGAAGAACGGCATCTAAAAAGAGGATACAACCTGTTGCGCCATGGTCGAGCAATTAGACTATTCCTTGGATCCGTATGCCAGGGGCCGATCCCTAACGTCAGGAATTGACAATTAAAGAGCTCTAGTAGGTAGGGACCGATCCCTAACGTCGAGAATTGACAGTTAAAGAGATGTCCCAAGGTTGAGGAGAACACCCAAGGACAAAGCGTTAAAGTCGAGAGGTTCTTATACCGCCTTTGAAGGTTTTGGTGTCGAGCAGTCTATAGGATCGGAGTCAAATCAAATCCCGCCAAATCAAGAAGGGATAAATCACATCAAGTATCTGAATTCAAATCGAGAGATCATATAGCAATCCGCAAGGATAATCCCCAAAATTCGGTTATTCAAATAAAGATATATCCAAAAAATCCCTTAATTAAAGGTTTTCTAGGGTTAAGGTTTTCTACATTCAGGAGAGCCCATAAAAGGGGCTGAATTCCTCGTTTGGTTTTTGACGCATTATTAGCCTACTAAGAGAAAAACTATACTTTTAAGTATTAGTGCATTCACAAGTGGATGTAAACAAATAGTTTCTGTCGAACTACTATAAACTTTTGCGTCTTCTTTATTTTGCTTCATTTATTTTCTAATCTATTTGTGAGTGTGACTGCGTGAGTGATTCCGGAGAAATTAGATTCCGAGTTGATAAATTTTCACCCTCAACACAACCTAATCATGACAAGTTCTTTGAATTTAGTGATGAAAAATGATTGCCATGTGCTTGAATGTGTAGGTGGTCAGCTTTTGAGGTTTTTGAGAAGCATGAAATCCATAGCTGAGATTTCCCAATTTTTGTCGCCCATTTGATTTTCTCCACTCGGTCAGCCTCTTCACATTCAAAGCTCTACGAATTTTGCCTCCAAATTCGATTAATGGGCCTAAGGGTCATAATTATGACCTGAGTGCTCCAACAATCTTTCACGTGGCACTCACATTTTCCGTTGTCATTTTAATGATTTATTTTGTGAAAATTATAGACCAAAATGTGATTAGGATTACAGTTACAGAACAAACATAAAATTAACCAAAAGTGATTCCTTTTTTTTTTTTATCAAACTAATTAAATATTAGTTTATGATTATGCCTAAAAATGGTCCCCTAACTTCACACAAAATCCCACTTTACTCCTTGACGTTTAAAACGTCTGAAAACTGACCTTCATCTATTCTGTAACGGTAAGTTAATTAATCCTTGAATTACATTTCTTTCAAAATTTGGACAATAAATCATTGTTGGCCATATGCAATTTTAATGAAGGTTTAAAATTAATATTTTAGTGGCTTTCGAAGGGGAGATAAACTTTTGGATTAACAAGTAAATGGTATGGGGTTCATATTCTGTTTTTGGTTTTTCTCGTAGGCTTTCCCTCGGAGAAGTGAAATATAAAGGTGAAGGAAGTATAATGATTTTCTCTCATGTTATTTAGTAGAAGAGAAAGAAAAGTAAAAAAAAAAATATTAAATCTAAGGTATTTTACAAAAATATCTCAATACAAATAAAAATATGATAAATGGTGAAGGTTAAAATTGTTATTTTACACATATTTTGTTTATCTAACTTTTTTTTTCTCATCTTTTCTTTCCAAAGTTTGAAGGATTAAAAATTAGTGGGCCCTATAGATTTTCATTTTTCTTCCTTCCTCATTTTCTCTCTACCAAACAACCTAAAATTTTATTTTCCTCTTTAAAATCCTTCATCTATTTTCTTTTTTTTTTTCTCTTTTCCGCCCTACCAAACACACTGTTAATGTACGTTATAACAACTTATAAGGCCACAACGACATTTTTGACCCACTACTAATCCAATATCCATCACACACGACCTAGTGTTGTTTTATGTCTTTTCCTTGTTTTAACAATCACGTGTAACAAAATATGATTAATTTTGTACTGACGATAATCTACTTTGAGATGTTTTAACGCATCAAAGTGAAATTTGGTACGATGTTCGAGCACTATTTTGGAAATTAACTCTTTGATTTAATCACTAAGGGGCATGTTTAATGCATCGTATTGTATTGTATTGCACTGTATAGTATCGCATAATATTATATTGCATTATACAATTTTTATATAATACGGTGTTTGGTTAGTGGTATTATTAAACATTATATTATTTTTACTATTATAATCTATTTAAGTATTATTTGTAATAAGATAAAATTTAGGTCTAATCATAACCTAATTCAACTCTAATCTCAACATGAACCCAACATTTGCAGGCAGTAAGAGAAAAAGTAGAGTTACTACATAGGGTCTTTTTGCACAAAAAAAATTGGAAAATGGGGTCAAATTGTAATTTTTAAAAATTAAGGGGTGAAAATATAATTTTGAAAAAGTTGAGGGGTCAACATCTAATTTTAAAAAAAGAGGGGTCAAAACATAATTTATAAAAAATTTAGAGGCCAAAATATAATTTTTAAAAAGTTTAGAGGTTAAAATGTTATTTTAAAAAAATATAAACCCAACATCACTCTGCTCTCCAAACTCGACCCCAATATCAGTCCCAAAACCCAACCTCGAGCCTTCATATTTGTGAAATTTTTTATATGTTTTTAATAGTCTTTTAAGTTAAATTGTATAATACGGTCTAGTATATACGTTCTTTTCCGTGATAGATATCATACTTCGTATTGTATTAATTTTGAATCTCATATTAAATTATACAATGTATAATGTTACTAAACATTGTATTATTATTAAACAATGCAATACAATACATAATGTTAATACGGTGCACCAAACATGTCCTTAAATCATTTACAAAATTCTTTCAAATGTGATATCTTGTTTGGCGTGGCATTATTTAAGGTAAGAGGCTTACTAATCCAGTGCCAAAAGGGGAAAAGAGATGAATACTAATTTTGCGCGCCAAATTGTGAACTTCTTTAAAACAGGCTATATGTGTTAATAAAAGCATGGGCTTTCAACCCCCTGCAAAAATAAGCGTGTGCTAAGCCTACTGAGAATATTAAAAGCCCACTTAAACGAGGCCCGAGTTCAAGGGTTTATTGAGTTGTATTTTTAAGTTATGATGACTTCAAGTGTAGATTTTAAGTAAAATTTGATTTATAAACTGAGTTAAAATTGTAACTTAAGTTTGTATTTAGTTGTGTACATTTGAGTTATAATTTGATATGAGAATCTTTTTGAGTTTGTATTTAGGTGCGTTAAAACTTAAGTTTGTATTTAGATAGTATTTTAATAAAAACTCAATAGTGATGAAAAATTTGAATAGGATATATGGGTGAAATTTTATTCGTCTCTTCGTTGTAAATGTATAAAAAAAATCTCAATCAGAATTAAAACGAAAAAATTATAACGTTTATAAGAATAAAAAAAATATTGTTTATTAACTTGAATTTGAGTTTAAAAACTTAAATTAAAGAAGAAATTTTAACTCAAATTTTAACTCCAAACTCAATTTAAGGGGTCATTTGATTGGGGGATTCGTACCCCGATTCGAATCATAGTTCATGATTCGTTACATATTTTCTCTCACAAAAAATACACGTAAATTAAAAATGATTCTAATAACCGTCTCCTAAAATTCAAATTTTACAAAATAATATAAATCAAATTATAACCAAACTTTTTAAGAATAAAAAAATATTATTTATAAACTTAATTTTAAATTTAAAAACTTGAGTTGAAAAAGAAATTTAAACACAAATTTTAACTCCAATTCAAATTTTACAAAATAATATAAATTTAAATAAAATTAAATACAAATTTTAACTCTAAATTCAAATTAAAACTCAAATTATACAAAAATAATATAAATTTAAATAAAATTATAACTTAAATTTAAATTTTTTTAAAATTTAAATACAAAAGAATTTAGAGACTACCATTGTGGAGACTTCTCACGAGGAGAAATCCCCATTAAAAATAGGCGTATGCCACTAAATGCGGCGAGCACACGGTATTCTTTAGTAAAAGGCGAAAGAATAGTTCGCTTTGTGCTCACCGCGTGGCTCCGTGGATTTGACGGGCTGTATTACATCGACTTATATAGCTGGAGTCTTGGTGGGATTGTTTTATAACTCTCCAATGTGGGACATGTGAAAAGCCGTAGTTCAAGTATCTCTCCTAGAGTACTTATCCCCAAAAAAAAAAAAAAAAAAAAAAAAAAAAAAAAAAAACCTTCTCTCTTAGAGTAGTATTTATTTTATCGATTCGAGTTTTACTTGATAAAAATAAATTTTATATAGATGAAATCCTTAATCACACCAAGATCCACCATGTTAAATCATCAAGAAGAATAGACTTAAGCGGAAGCGTACTTGAGTCCATAGGAATGGATTGTTTCTTGAATCTTTTGGTTCTTGATCTTCCAAATTATTCAGTATGAATGCCTTGAGAAGGAATTCTCACTTTTCTAATGATGGGATGTCAGAAAAGGATCATACATATAATTTGGGGACCACAACCATTTATATAAAAGTCAACTTTTCATTATTTCTAATTTGACCCATCATAAAATAAAAAATAACGATTTGGTCTCTACACATATTAGGCTCACACTTATTAGATGCATTAAAGCCTAAATTACCTTAAATCTTATTTGATCACTTTAAATGGGCTTAACTTAATATGATAGCATATAATATATAATTATTATTATATATGTATATATGCACGCCCAAAATTTAATATTATATAGTAAAAAACTCTCAAGACAGGTTAAAAAATATTTGTGGAGAGTAAAGCTCCACATTTACAACCTATATACTTGAGAGCGAGTATATTATATAGTTAACCTCTTAGACAGTTTGGACTAAGATTTATTTTCAAGGAACTTGGAGCCCATCGTTTATTTGGGTGTCCTTAAATCTTAAATGTCAATGTTCGAAACATTTGAGCATAATGGTATAATTGTTCATTTCTTTTCTAATCATTAACTTCTGTGAGACTTGCTTAAAGAGCGTAGAGCTATAGATCTGGTCCAAATAAGAACTCTAGTTGTTCAACTATCCAAGTCTTCCAAATATAGATATATATATATATATATTAAATTTGAGTCCAAACTAGTTAATAGTTCTGAATATGAAGCATCATATTCATGCATTAGTACCCACATAACATAACACCCAGTGTTTTTAGGATAGGTCATTTGTAACAATTTTCACCGACACTGCTGAGTATTTGAGCAAAATAAGAAAATAAATAAATAAATAATAGTAAAATCAATAACAATAATAACCTTTTGAATGTACCTCCAACAAGAAGTCATGACGCAATTACAGGAACTTGTGAAAAATAAAAAAAGTAATGGATATATTAAGGGCCCGTTTAGTTCGTTAATTCGAGTTAAGATATAATTTTATTTGAGAATTTTTTACTATAGTAAAAAAGTTAAATTTGATTGTTTTTAAGAGTTTTTTACTGTAACAAAACTTAAATTTTAAACTCAAATTGATAAAATGAATGGATCCTCAAGTTCTTTCAACTTTTTGCTATATACTGAACTTCTTTATAAGCCTTTTCACTCCTATACAAAGTAATGGCATATACTGAGATGTCGCTTACTTTAACAGATTAGAAATATCCTTCCTGGGGCTGGAGCTGATAACAATATAGTAAAAAAGTTAAATTTGACTGTTTTTAAGAATTTTTTACTATAACAAAACTTAAATTTTAAACTCAAATTGATAAAATGAATGGATCCTCAAGTTCTTTCAACTTTTTGCTATATACTGAACTTCTTTATAAGCCTTTTCACTCCTATACAAAGTAATGACATATACTGAGATGTCGCTTACTTTAACAGATTAGAAATATCCTTCCTGGGGCTGGAGCTGATAACAACCGGAGAAGCAGAAAACCGTTTTTCATCATTTGAAACTTGTCCATTTTCAAGTTTTGCGCCATTTTCATCTTCAAAAGAGTTATCAGGAGATGATCCGCATATCTGTGTACTGTTAAGCTTCCACCTAGGCAAATACCAAGAGAAATAGAAATGTGCGTATTAAAGAAAGATTAAATCTAAACCTTGATTCTCATCTATTAGAAAAAAAATGTTAGGATCCGTTAGTTGGGGGAGGGCATTAGTAGATTGTTAATGGTGGTTAGAGGAGAGTAAGTAGTATAAAAGGGAGGGATTAGTTGTTGGTAGGGATGTCGGATTTGTGTGAATTGTTTGGGAATTCTTTACGGCTTGGGAAACCAACATTTGGGAGAGTTGCAGCCTCTCCAATGCTGCTCTATCAGTGTTTCATCATTTTATTTTGATTCAATAAAGCTTAATTTCTTAAGAAATTGTTGGGTTCCTATCAAATGGTATCAGATCATCAATTCTTAGTCGACATGCTGCACCGACAGGGTCGGTGGACACCAGTTCTCATTCTGGATCTTGGAGGTGGCCTAACTCGATGGTTTGAATTGCCGGTTTTTTACAGCGATGACGCCGAGAGTAGGATTATTTAGGTGGAATGAAATTTTTTTATGTTTCGAATGACATATCGAGAGAAATTAGAGGTTGTGACTGTCCACTTAGAAGCTGAAGCTTTGGCCTGGTTTCAATCGGAGGATTGACTTGGCCGTTTCGGAGTAGGTCAGAGTTCAAGGCTCACTTGTTGCAACAATTCCGTCTAGTAAAGAAGAGCTTCATACTTGAGAAGAGTGTCAAGGCAATCCCTGGCAAGCTAGATCGTTTAGGTCAATTGATGCACCGTAGAGAAGAGCTTGTGGAGGGCGGGCGTAAGAGGCACTGCGATCTGGTTGGAGTGAGTCGCGATCAGATCAGAGCACTGAACTTTAGGTTCTGCGATCTGATTTGAGAGTTGAATATAGGGCTTCTAACTACATAGCCATAATGGAGGCGGAGAGAACTAAGTCGCGACTAGATCTGGAAAATCCAAGACAAAGATCAACATCGGAGGGAACGCGACAAGAACTGAGGGTGGCTGATGTGGGTCATGATGGAGGGTAGTGTGAGGCTCTGAACGTGAATCTTGAAGATCTGGGCGAGATTGACCTAAATCTGGACGATAAAGAGGACAATCCCGGTCAGAATCGAGTGGGTCTTCGTCGGGAAGAGCTGATTGGAGCTGGGCTTGGGCCGGAGAATGACCAGCGACCATGGTAGGTGGAGATTGAGGATGGGTTCAACCAAATCGGCTTGGATCCATTACTTGTTGGCCAAATCGACATACAACAACGGCGTGGGGTACAGATTGGAGCCGGTTTGGGTCTAGGTCAGCGGGATCTTTGTGAGGGGCCTCGGACCTACCGGACTTTCTTAATGCTGGTTACTTCAAAACTCCTCACTTAATTAGTTACAATGAAAAATGTACTTATCATATGCATACACTACTTGTTGTTATTTTATAATGGATATGATATATTGGATGTATTTTTAAATCTGATGTAAGAATTTTCCAGTATCAATTGACACAATGCGTTGTTATAAACTTAAAAGATTAAGCATATCATAAAATCCAAAATTTGAACATGATGAAAGATAGTGTCAATAATTGATTAAATTGACAAAGAGAAATGTCAACTAGAATCCCAAATGATTAGTTCAATTATGATTAGCATAAGCTTATGCTTGTTCCCGAATCGAATTCGGGTGCGGAAGCGTGGTAGGAAACAGCGGATCGTGTATAACAAAAATTTTCATAAAACTTTTGACATACTCTATAGATTATATTAATTTATGCACGAATAAATTAATCACATTAATTTACATGATTCAAGGATCAACCGAAAAAATACCTGGAAGCCGACTCGGATGATAACTTGAATTTCTTTGACCATGAACAGTCCTTACTCCAAGTTTTGTGTTTAGAATACTAAAGTCTTCCACGTCAATTCCTTGATTCCACGTAGACGTGTGTGTGGGCACACGTGAGACACGACAGGTTTCTTAAACACTCGAATTTTCACAAACACCAACGCATGCACGATGTGGAATTTTTGGAAAAAAATTTTGCTCTCTATTTTTCACTATGAGAAATTTCGGCCACAACAAACTTAGGGCTGAAAAATTGCTTCAAAAATTATATATACAATTTTCTATCTTTCAAAATATTTAAAGAGTAGAAGTCAAACTTCAAAATAGAATCAAATCCTTAACTCCAATTTTGAATTTGGAACAAAAAAATCCCTTCCCCTTATCCACAAGGTGGCCGGCCACACTCTAGGGTTTTATCCCTGTGTGTGGCGCCTATATCAGATAGGGAAGGAAGAGATTTTATCCTTTATCCAGTAGTCCAATTTTAATTCAGATTCAAATTCGAATTTAAGTTAAACTTAAATTAATTTGAATTCTAAATTGAACAACTTATCAAATAAGTTTAAATGGATAAATCTAGATGTGTTCAAATTCAAATTTAAATAATCACATTATTTAAATAATAATTAATTCTCAATTAATTATTTTTTTTT